ACATAGCGTATATATTAACATATCATTTGAAAGCACCCATTTCAATACTTTTATTCAATCAAAAACTATTTCATGCAACATTCACACAATGCTATAAATTATGCTTAATCCAAAACAAGTTTATACACTACATAGCAAAACTAACATACAATTATAATAAACATTACAACAAAGAAAGTTATTTAGTTACCCCAACCCTTTTGTCATTAGAAAGGTTACATGTGGATTTCAACAAACTATATAGCTTATCTCAAGCTTCCTTCCTCTACTCACACATCTAATATACCAATCTGAACACATTTGGCACATTTTAGTCATTTGATCCATTTTAACCAAAAACTCATATTTACTACCTAGCGCTATATTCATCCGTAACCTTTTTTCTATTTATCCATTCTAAGTCCATTACTACTCAATTACTACTTTACATCACCTCAACTGATCTTATTTCACTCAAATGTGATTTTTCTCCTAATTTTCCCTCTCTAAGGGCTAAAATTGAGCCTATGGGTTTAACGTTCTACTGTTAAGCTTCAAACCAATTGCAAAGCTCAAATTTAAGTTTTAAAAATCTTTTTATTACTATTAGACAAGAATTAAATCCCTCATATTCCACCTATTCAATTTTCCTACAACTCAGTTTCAGAGAAATTTGTGTGGAGTAGAAGGTAAGAGTTATATGTAGCTTACCTGATAAGTAATCGATCCAAAGCACCTCCCAATGGCTTGAAATGGCTTGCCCTAGCTTCTCAGCCCTTCTTCTCTCCTTCTCTCTTGTATTTCTAAATTTTCACTTCTAAAAATCACCAAAGTTTATAACTTAAGAAGTAATTTCTTGGTCCGTGTGCCACGGCACATACAGCACAAGCTGCGACATGTGGCACAGTGAGATTTCTTCTCACCATGCACACTTGCTTTAACCCAAAACATACTCCTTTCACCTATATCTACTCGCACAACATACCAATTAGTCAAATCATTAAGTAATCATCCAAATCTCTAATCCCACACAAATAATTACTTTACCCTCAATTAATCACTAATCTTGGAATTAAAAAATTCAGGATGTTACACCCCCTATGATTATGTTCTTTTCACAATTTTCATTATTTTTTTCACATTTCCATAGCATATAACATCATAACATATATATATATATATATATATATAAATTAAAATCATATTACCTTTTAGATTACATTTTACAAACCAATGTTAACGCTAAAATCATTTTCAATAACAAGTCATGCATAAAACTCATAAAACCACAATTTCTTATTTGGTATTTAGTTTTACACAGTTATAATAGTTAATAAACATAATAAACTATATGGTTACCTCAACTCTTCTGTCCGATAGAAAAGTTTACCCAGGTAGTGTCCTTACTCAAATCTCTTTCCGCTTATTTACTCATCACATACTAGAATCTACATAAAATTGGTATTCAAAGTCAACTTCACTATTGACTAAAATTGTCAATTATCGCAATTAACCTCCTAATTACTATCATTTCCACCCTCAACTACTTATTGCCCATTTTGCACAGTAGGCTGTTTTCATAACTTTATACACAAAAACACCCATTTGGCCATGTTCACCACAAGTTCACTCATTTTCACATTCAAGACATGTTCACCACTACATCTTAGCCCATGCTACTCATTTCACCACATATTCGCATGTATAGGCTAAGATTTACAAAATCACTACAAATCACATCTTAAAGCATGCATATGTGGTCTTATGGCAACTTTTCATTACAAATATACAAAGGACAAGTTCATTACACAAACTCAAGAATTTTCCACGGTAAAGCACAACCATGTCGATCCTGAATCTTTCCTTCTGCTCGACTCACTACTTTGAACTGTAAAAATGCAATCATGAAGTGAGATAATAATCTCAGTAATGGAATAACTTACTACTACCAACTATCACAAGTAACTATAAGCAAGTATTGCATAATATACCATTAACCATAGCATAACATGGATTCCACCTCAAATCACTTCATCAATATAATTAATTCACCACTTTCATAAACAAGATCACTACCATCTGAACTTCTAAATCACCTCGACTCAAAACTATAAGCTCGCCTTAGACCAACGCACACACTTATTGGCCTTGAGCACACCTCTAGTGATAGATCAGCCAACTAAAGGCATTTTATCTCACTTTTAGACTATGGTTTTCCCCCATCACATACAATGGGATTTCATTAGCTCCAACACTGCATCACAGATGCTAAGGAGCCGAATCTTCAACACCATACCTTAATAGGCACTAAGAAGATAATCTCCAACACCACACCTCAAAAGGTACTAAGGAGATATGATTCTCTAACATTATAACCCATTGAGTACTAAGAAAAATATGCCATATGGACTTTCACCACTTCTCCTTGTAGGTAAACTCCCACATCCATAATCATGCTTAATATAAACCATTTATTTATACTCATCACCACATATATTTAACAATATAATCATATAGGCACATAGTTACAATTTCATAAACTCATTTTTACTTGTTCATTCACCAAAAATCCATTTCATTGACAAACATGCAATATCTTAAAAACATGCTTAGGTTAAAATAATTTCATGTAATAGATATTATACTTTCAAACAGTTACAATAGATAGTCAAATAGAGTAAATTATTTGATTACCTCAACCCTTTTGTCAATAAAAAGGTTACCCATAGATTTCACAACTACTAACAATTCACTACAAGCTTCCTTTCTCACTCCACATGCACAATATGTCTATCTACATACAATTGGCACAATTAGCCAAATTCATGAAGTTGACCAAAAATACTTAATTATTGCTTAAAGCTACACTTAGCCAATCTAGGCTCATCACCACTCATTCTCCACTTCTACAAACCTCAATTCACCACTAATTCTCAACTTTTCTTTAATGTAGGGTTTAATTATTATCACTTTAAAGCTTTATCATTTCATTCTAAACCAGTCACAAAGCCCTAGTTTGATTCTAGAGAACCTTTTTATTACTATTAGGTAAGAAACAAATCCCTTAAATTTTCCTGATTCAATTTCTCAATAACTTATCCTAAGAAAAATTATAGTAGAATCAAAGCTAAGGGCGATACAAAACTTACTCAATAAGCTACTAGTCAGAAATATCTCCCAAGTTCCAACAAATTGATGCCCTAGCTGAAGCTTGCTCTCTTTTCTCCTACCTGCTCGATTTCTCTCCTTTTCCCTTCTAAAATCACGAGCTGGACATGCATTTATCACTTAATTTTCTATGTCGTGCGCTATGGCGTAAGCATCTTGCGCCGCAACACGTGGCATAGTGAGGTAAATCCTCACCGCGCATACACACTCCCATCCAAGATGTGATCCTTATGCCCATGTCTGTTCATTCAATATCCCAATAAGTCAAAATATCACATTATCATTGAAAACCTTAATCACACACTAATTACTAATTTACTCTCAATTAGCAATTAGTTTCAAGTTTAGAAAATCAAGATGTTACATCCTTTCTACCATGATAAAGCTTCATAAAGTTCATTTCAACATATTTGATTCTTTTATATCATAGTAAATTCTTTTTTGCCATGGTAAATTTTCTAAAAGATAAATATTGTTTCAGAAATAAAGAGTGTTACAAATAACACTTCAGTCTCAATTGAATAATTTTATTTAAGTAAATTTTTTGTAAATTTTAAAATGTAAAGCATGTCCCTTGAGTCCTTAATTGATAATTTTATACAACCAAATTTGTTTCCAATTTTAAAATTAGGAAAACAAGCAAATTCAACGTACAAACTTTTAAATTTGGAAGAAAAAATTGCAAATTCTTTGAAGCATTTTGAAATATTGACATTACTTTTTTTGATTTAATCATTAATATTTGCATTCCCTATTAAAATTAGGAAAAGGAGTTGTAAATTCAAGACAATGAAATTCAAGACTTGAATGCAAAAGTCAAATCAGAAACAAAAATCACGAATTGTGAACCAAAAATCAGATCAAGAAGCAGGAGTCGAATGGTGCTTGAATGTTGTCAAACTCATATCAAGAAGCAAAAATCAAAACAAAAACCGAATTATGCTTGAAGGTTGTCAAACTCAGTCAAGGAGTAGAAATTTTATGAAAAAAATGAATCATGCCTAGAATCGAATCCAAAATCAAATCCAAATTGAAGCAGGTCGTTTTTGCCTTCATCGCACGGTCTTTCATCGAAACTAGAGAATGGATCATGACTAGTGGGCAATAGAATTCAACAAGTCGACTGGAAAGAACAAATCAGTGGCTATTGCTAACAGTCGTGACTGTAATTGTTGCTGGTCAAGCGCCGTCGCATTTGAGTTGAAGTTAGGGGAGAAACTTGAAAGGCAAAGATGAAAAATGAGAAAATGAGAAGAGAATCCAGTTCCATGGGCATGAGTGAGGAACTAAGTTCAATCATTCTTTACAAAACCGAGTTCCATGGAGAATCAAGTTTCATGGTACCAAAAAATATTGATTGCACTTCCATTTCTCCCACGTCAATTTCTTACTGCATAACAAGACACAAGTATCATTGTGACTAATGTATACGGGGACTGAATCACACCAAGCTAAATCATATCGACATTGATCCATAATCATTAAACGATTTCAGGAAGTCATTATTTCAAAATCAATTCGAAGTTCTGTGCAGAGACTTGAATCCACGGTTACATTGCTTCCATTCAAAATGAATTTTGAATTATATACGCGCGTAGTTGAAAATTTTATTTTTGCTTCAGAAATCTTGCACAAAATTCAACACACCATGAATTTAAAGCAAATAAATATACGAACTTACATAATGCAACCGATGATGTCCTTCAAAAGTTGCACCATAGTTTGATGCCTAAACAATTAAGCAAGGCCATGACAGGGTCAAAGACAAGTTTCATGTTGCCTTTGCATTAAAAAAATAACTGTGAACATAAAAAAAACAAAAAAAAAAAAAATAGAAAAACTATGGAAAGAGATTGCAATAACTGTCATGATTCCACTTATCCCGCAAATTGCTTCACTGTTCGCCGAATATAGAAAATAAAGTCTCAATTTCAAAACTAATGTGATTGCACGTTACATCTGCCACAATATATGGCAACCTCTTGAAGAATGAAAATGAGAAGTAATGAGTGGCAATGCTAACAGGAACAAATAGCATTGCAAAAATATCGGTCTACTTTATTTGCCAATAGACAGTACTATTTAATAGCACTGCAAAATTGATATCTGAAAAATTCAAAATCCTGCACTTGACTTAACAGCTGTGTGGAAATAGAATCACTGGGCAGTAGATTCTTTCAAATATGCTATAAGATCAGCCCGTTCCTGCGGCTTTTTTAGGCCAGGAAATACCATCTTCGTCCCAGGAATATACTGCATACAACAGAAAGATTTCAAAAATGTCATAGGGGAACATTAACACAGGAATTAGATGCAGCACAACACCTCAGTTACAGTACAAAAAAGACATAAGCAAACACCTCATTTGTTGTAGATCTAATTAAAATGTGGGTGAAGCATAAGATTAATTTAACACACTTTGAAATCATCTACAACTCAATAGGAGCATGCCATCTTGCAAGCCTCTTCCATGTGACTTAAATTCCCTTGCATTTTATTTTATTTTCTTTTATTTTAATTAATTGGAAGCCAATTTCAAACTGATCTGCACGCCATTCATGAGAGGATTTTCAGATCAAATATTACACATTACATCATCCACACACACTCAATTTTTCACTAGTTCTTCATTTGTTTTTCATTTTCTCTCCACCTAAACCTCACGTCCAACACCATTTTCTTCATAAACCTCATCTCATTTTTATGTCATTTTCTATAATTTTCTAGGCCTTTTTTCTATCATTTTCTATAACTTTTATTAACCATAAGGGCTACAATACACCATTTTCAAAAGTTGAGAGGAAACACAAAAATCAAGTTTAAGGTCACAAATGCTCCTAAGCCTATAGTTCAAAAGCCAAATTACCCTTTTAACCCTGATTTAGGAATATAACTTGGTACTTAAATGGTCATGAAAAAGCCATTTGATACAGGAATAATAATTCAGGTCCAATACCTTTTTGGGGTTAAGCAAGTAATCATATAGAGTCTTTTCTTCCCAAATCACAGCCATGTTCTTGTTAGCTGCAGAGTAGGAATATCCAGCAGTAGTGCCAGATTGCCTTCCAAACAAACCATTAAGGTTGGGTCCTGCGTTATTGTCAGGATATTGCATGAAGATATGATATAAGGAAGAGACAAATAAACATGTAAATTCATTACATAGCTCATAGGGAAAACTTTCTAATTTTGATCCAACAGGACTACCATACACAAGTGGGCAAAGAAACAGAATCTAAGCCAACAAAACAACATCATGGTCAACGTCTAACCTACATTTCTACCACACTAACTAAAAGGGGGGGAAATAGAAGAAAACAAATTATCTCGTTGTAAGAGTATCATATAATTTAAAACAAAAGCAACATGAAAATTATAAAAATTATAGAAAATATGCTAAAATTAAATTTCAATACCAATAAATGTTTCCTAACAACATAAAACTTTCTTGTGGAACCACAGGAAAAATTAAATATCATTAAAATTGGAATCACACCAGATTTCCAATAAATTTAAATGCATTGCAAACTTTACAAAGGAAAAATAACATAAACAGTACCTAGCATGATAAAAAACATACTAGACACAAATCAGATGAAGAAAAACTTAACCGCGGCAGACTAATTAGATTAGAGAAACCAAACTAACCAACAATCCGACGTCAATGAAGGGAAACTGATATCATTAATACAAGACTATACTATTCCACAATTCTTTTAAATTTATTATTGATGTAAGTAACCAAGCCAGCGAGGTTTACATCATAATTCCTAGTCCAAAAACGGTATATTGCCAAACAACTTCCACTTATAGTTAATTTGATACCGATCCACTTTGGCTTGATAAACTCTTGATTTTTGTCTATTGAACATGTTCTCAAATAAAATGATCTAGACATAGTTACAGGCTGTTAGTTTTCAGGTTCAAAACTTCAGAGTTCAGAGGGAAGCATTCCCTCAACATTTTACCAGAAATATAAGGGTAAGGTCATGCAAAAAGTTATTAAAATCCTTCAGCTTCATCAGATGTTTTCAGTTAATGACCATTCACATGGCTGAATCGGTGTTTCAAGAGAAATGTTGACTTTTTTATATATTGAGAAACAAATCATGAGAAAGATTGGAAGATAAGTCCAGGAGCTAAAAAATCCTCTTGTACAATATGCAAGACAATTCAAAATAGCAAATCTCACTACGCATAATAAAAAAAAAAATCAAGGCTAAAAACAGAGAAGAATAAATTACTTAAGAGACAAAAAGAGTAATCACGTCCCAGTAATTGATAATAATTAGCCATTTAACAAGCACAGATCTGTTGAGCACCCACGGAAATAGGCTGCAATAATTGTCCCGCGAAAAATAAAAGCTCACATTAAATTTAAAGATCGTTTCTTGTCTTCTCGTAAAAGGCAGGTAACGGCAAAGGGTTAAGAAGGCAAAGAGAAGGATGACAGGATACCAAGTGCTTTGAAATAAAGAGTAAATATACAATTGCCTCCAGGGTAAATATACCACCATACGCTTCAAAGCTTGATTTATTTCAAGGTATGCAATTTTTCAACCGCGCAGAGGAATAAATCCAACGAAGAGACAAATAGTTCATGAGTCACCAAATCGAACGACCAACTAATTACTGAACAAGAATAAAATAAAGGATAAAGGCGAATGTTATATTCTCTATTCGATACATATTATAGAACATCAATCTTGAAAAACTAAAAAGACAGGACCCGACAAATAACACCAATTTCGATCCAGGATTTGTCGGCAACCCTTATTTCCTTCAAACTCAGAAATAAAAAAGCAACCAACAAAACAGACATCCAACAGAATTCAATGCACAGACCCTAAAATCCGAAATCAACCGTAAACATAAAAAAAATAACAAAAAGAAAGAAGAGAAAGGCTACCCTGCTTGTGACCGGCGCCTTTGTCGACGGTGTGGCACTGAGCACACTTGGTCTTGAAGATTTTCTCTCCAGACTTGACATCGCCAGGAGACGCTTGATCGAATGACGCCATTTCGGAAGCTCTCGGAGAAAACCAGGGGGGGGGGGAGAGAGAGAGAGAGACTAAGGAAGATGAAGCTTCGAGAACCAAAGGCAAAACGCAGACGACTTGGGGAGAGGCGAGGAATGTGAAGCGTAAGAACAAAGAAGTAGGCAGGAACGCGCTTGCCACGGTCCTCCAAAGACAGCCCTAACTTTTTCCTCAAGTCACGTGGCGTGTTTGCAACGCCGCAAATATTCATTTTCTTTTATTATTATTACTGTTATCTAGTAAAATTTGTTTCCGCAAATTAAAATAAGAAGAATTACTGTTAGATTTTAAAAAATTTAACTAATCCTATATTCATGAAAAATTTTTTAACAAAATGATTATTTACAAAAATAATAGGTACATAACGATTTTAACAGTTATATATAAAAAGTTTAATTATAATCTAAAAATTACATTTGAATCTTAAATATTTTTTAAAAAATTGGCCCTTGAACTTGCAATTATTTTAATGAAGATTTTTGCCTAATTTTTTAGGAAATTTTGGTGCATTTATATGTTATTAATTTAACGTTTTGGAATCTATCTTTGTAATTTAATGTTTTGAAGAAAAAAATTGCAATAAGCACTCTGGAGGCCCATGACTAGAAAACATCTCAGATTTACTGTGAATCCAATGATCCATTTGGGGACGCACACAATTGGGTTGGACACCAACATAAAGCGAAGCGCCATAATTCTTGGGCCGAGCTCAGCTTCAGAAAGTTGGCATATGGATAAGGTATGTTCGTGAGCTTAGTTTGGTTACGCTTCTAACTTTTAGAGGTTGTATAATTTTGTTCTTATTTTTTATTTTTAAAAATTAAATTGTCAACCAATTTTTAAAATTTTTTTTAAAAAATGAAAATATATTTGATTATGCTAATTTAAAAAAAATTAGAATCAAAAAATGGCCAAGAGCAGCGGTTATGGTGATTAATGGAGATAGCATATGATCATAGTAGTCAATTATAGCTAAGGTAATTTATAATAGTTAAATATAATGTTCTTTAAAAATAAAAAAAGAAAACACAAAAATAGTTGTGTTCCCTAGCACCAGTGTATAATGTCGTCCCCGCATCACTTCTCAACCTTTTAAGCAATTGAGGACAATCATTAAGTTCTATTTCAACCGTGTTGGCTATCTCTTCAACACAATTTACCTCACCTATAGTTGTGCCAAAATCATTTGGCATATAGCTATAGCTAGTTCTGGTCACGTCCCTTATCTCTCCATACTTATACCAACACTTAAAATTTTGATCGATTCTATTAACTACTAAATGGTCTTTCAATTCCCATGCAGTGACCCGCCTCATAAGTCCACATCTTAGACAAGGGCACACAATGCTCTTAGTATTTCCCTCATGTTCAATGTCAACCTTAATAAAGTAGCTCACCCCCTCCATATATTCCCTCGATCATCAATTCACAGACATCCATTCTTTATCCATAATCTCAAATCTATAAAAAATTGTTGAGGGATATGTGATGAGTGGCTCAATCATCATAAGTGCAAGATAATAAATTAATTAGCTACTAACTCATCAATACATTACTCATGAACCACTTGATTAAAAATAGTAGGGATCCCTAATAAAAAATCCCTACTATTAAAAATAAATTTAAGTATATTTTGACTTAAAAGTTCTTTTAGTTGTCTAATTAATAAGCCACAATTTTCATTTTAGAGTACTAACTAGTTGTTAGTACTCTTAAATGAAAATTTGGCACTATAACAACTTAAAATTGAAACTTTCTCAGGTACTTAACCCTCTCTTCATACTTAAATTCATTGCTATACAATCTGATTTTAACCCAACTCAATCACCAATAGCAACAATAATAACTCAAACCCCTCTCTTCAATGAGTAAAGATCGATAGTAAATGATACTATATACATAGAATAATATTAAGATGAATAGTTTGAGAAGAGTAAATAGGGAAAACCAAGCACGTGGGTCAAAAGTGAATGTATTAAAAATTCTTAGTTCCCTAGAGGTTAATATTATAACTAAGAGGAAATATAGTACATATTACGAGCTCATTATGTGATAGACGAGCATAATATAAAAATATGAAAACTTAAAATATGAGAGGTGTTTAGTTTAATTTTCATAAAACCAAAGGGGTTAAGTTAGGTTTTATCAACTTCAGGAGGGTCTAGTTCAAAATTGAACTTGAAGGGATGTATAAACTTAATTCTCAAATTGCTATACAAGTTGTCAATCTAAAGGATAAATTTTTGGATTGTGAATTTCACTCAATTGTAATATTTATATATAAAAATGAAAAATGGCTTGAAATATGCTAAAGAATTTATGCATATTTCTGTAGCATAAACAAACCACTGAACATAACAAATCTCATCGCAAGTGATAAACCATTTATATGATAAATACCGATATAATGTTTTGTGACAACAAGTAGATGTATACAAGGTGTTGCATTATATGGAAATGCAATAAAACTAGAGCATGGAACAAAATATATATATATATATATATATATCTGTGTGTGTGCGTGCATGCGCGACAATAGTGATATTAGCAAAATGCAACTTTGCTATTAACCAATCCAAAATCCAAAGTTATTAAACTACTTAAGTTGTCTAATTGTATGAATGTTTAAGCCAGCATTAAAACAAGCTTATCCATATGATTTTAACTATCAAATTTGCTATTTCCTAATCTTTTTTTTCCTTTTAGATGTTTTATCAAGCACCTCATGTGCATAATGCTGAAACTATAAATATAAACTCTAATCTCATTTAAATCTCATCTCAACATTTGATTTGAACACGTAGAGACACAGAGAACACACAAAGACAAAGAAACACTAAACAAGAGACATAGAAAGAAGCTTGCAACTAAAGAGAACTCCAAATGCCCAATGCTGTCGCGTGAAGTTAAAGAAGCAATAACAGTGTTTGTGAGCAAGTTCTAGCCTTGGTATTTCATCAAAAAATGAAGAAATAAGATTTGGGTTATGTGTTTTGAGATTTTGTTGAATAAGATGAGGCTTTAGGTTTGAAGAAGATAAGCACATGAGAGGTTTTGAACTTTCTTCTCTATTTTCGCTTTGCTTCTATTCAAATGCTGATGGTATTTAAGCGTAAATGTAGGACGGTTCTCTATGAGAACCGTCCTATAATGTCAACATAAAGAGGATGGTTCCTCACAAAAACCATCCTCTATTTGTTTAGATTTTAAAAAATTTAATTTTTTTGATTTTAAAAACCAATATAGGACAGTTTTAGGATGAACCGTCTTATATTTATTAAATTATATAGAACGATTATCAAGCCCTTTCATTGTACAGTTCCCTTTTCTCCGCCTACTTATATAAGATGGTTTTGTATTAAACTGTCCTATATAATGAGTCCTCTATTAACAATTTTCTAGCAGTGTTACCAATATTCACCACAAAATCACAACAAACAATGGTAATTAAGAGCTTTAGATCACTCCCAAGCTCACTGCAAACACATAAGGGTTTAAACTAATAAACATTTAAAAATAATTTGGAATATTTGAAATCCTATTAAAACCCTTTAAATAAATAATTTGAGTCAAACTTAATGATTTTTAAAGATATAGGAAGCATGGAAAAGTTTAGGTAGCAAAACACTTGAAAACAGGACCAAAATGTTATTTTTGTGCATTCTGGCACATAAATCGTGGCTCGTGGTCCTTGCGTCATGGCATATGGCATAGAAAGACTAATTTGGCCTTTGCATCATGCACCATAGCTTGTGTGCAACATGTCGTGGTGCACGTGTCTCAGTCATGACAGCTTTTGAGGGTAAACTTTAAATGCAAACCATTTTCATATTTGATGTCCAATTGGAGTGATTCAAGCGCCCATATAAAAGTTTATTCAATAAAGTAACTAATAGTACAAGTTTCATTACAATCTAACATCATATGAAAATTTTAGACACTCAGATGCAAAAAATCAGATTTTAAAACAATTTTCAAGCACCCTAGTACCCAAAACTCAAAACTAATACCATTAACCCATTTTGAGGCTTAAACCAAGTTCAATAGACTATTATACACCTGATTGAACATTTAATAATACAATAACACACCAAACATAAAATTTGACCACTTAAGGCCTAACTTCACCTCTAATGGCCAATTTTACAGCATTGTACATAAATGACACTTGGCCTCATTATTGCCACATAACCTACTAAGTTTACATTATGACTACATATATAAAACATTTCTTGCACTTACACTAGTATTTTAGTCCTTTACCATAAAAATCACCACATATACAACATAGGGCTAAAATATAATATAATATGATATAATACAAGTGCAACCAATCAAAGTGATATGCATTCTTAGTTGACAACATATAATATCATATCTTTAAGTTTATGTACACAACTCCAAAATAAAATTGGGCATTATAGTATGTGTAGCTACTCACCTAATCCTTGCCCAATTCCTTCCCTTGCTCAATCTCGATAGTAGAACATCTAGAATAGTAACCATGGGGTTAGATAAAAATCTCAATAACTAAGATAATCTACATTATCGATTAACATGTCAAGTTATAAACAAGCTTTAAAATATGCATAACAAACACACCATATACAAATAACCACAATTATAATGCATGATCGCTAATCATTCAATCCTTCATTACTCTTGACCGAACTGGTAGGCTATTTCACAGAATCAAACCATGTGTATGGTCCTCAAGCTGATCCATGGGAGGACTACCCAGCCAAGGCATCTTAAACCACTTCTAGACTATAGCTTCCTCCTATTATTAGTAATTGTAGTGTTGTTACTCCAACACCGCACCCTATGGATGCTAAGGAATATAGTCTCTAACTTTGCACCCTTTTAGGTTCTAAGGAGAGTAACTCTCTAACACCACACCCCTATTAGGTACTAAGGAAAAATATAAGCTGCACTTGACGTCCCGAGGTGCCAATAGTGCTATATGGACTTTGGTAGGTCTGCTTTAGTATAAGCCAACCCTAGGTCATTCTTTCCAAGAAGCAATTTAGGGGTTAATCTTAAGTTAGTTCTAGGTATTTAAA